TACGACCTTTCCCATGCTCCCAGGATGTGGGGGTGAACGCCAGAACACCCTAGAATGTTACAGACCTCCTAGGATGAGACATTCTTTCAATATGCCACCAATTATATACTTCTACACACAAATAATTACATGCAGCATTCTACCATATGCAAACTTACATCATTAAAAGATTATACTGACTACTAAGTACAATTTTCCATTGACAATGATCAAAATAATATTACTGTCTGCAGAGAATCCATGAGGTGGGAGTACAACTTGCCAGTAGACCTGTTCATGTCTGTGACTGGTTACATGCTGCCAACACCAGATCATGCATGTGGAAGCACAAGCTAGATTTGGAAACCTCAGGTTTAGTTTCAGAACAGAACAGAGCACTATGCAGGTCTGCCTTTTTCTGGTCTCTATGTGATAAGGAAGTTAAACACAGCCTAAACAACTGCAACACTGGAACTTAAATAACTGCAACAAACTGACAAGTTGTGCAGCCATATACCCAAAGATCCAGGTTTCTCTACTGCAGTCATTATAGCATCAAGACTGAAAAGCTCAACTGTGCTCTTGCTTATGCCTCACACCAGGAGTAAATCTTTTCACTTTATAATACCACTCCGAGACCATTATAGGACAAGATGTTATGCAACTAAGAAGTATACAATTAGAGAAAGTCACAAAAACAATTCAGATTATGTCCTTTCACAAATACATGATATACGTTACATAGGTCAACAAATGAAAACAGAAACACAAGTTCAATTTATTGTTTCTCTTACAATTTTCTGAAGCTCATCATTTACTCCTGTGATTTATCTTTTCTGAGTTCTCTATTCTTGCAGCAAATCCAGCTTCTTGTCTATGTAAGCTCCAGTTTTTTTTAACATGTGAAAGGTAATTTCAACTATTTCCTCCAGTGGAGGAAAAAAAGGATATGATGATATCATTGCTTCTTTCAATTGAGGCATAAGTTCCTTCATTTTTTCATTGTATTGTTTTGAGAAGGTTGTGATTTTGTATCTGGATTCTCCCTAAAGGAGAAAAATAAAACTTTTCACATATAGTATTTCTACTCATATTATAGACTTTCTGAGAACAAACTGGAGACTGACTGACCCACCTTCAGTCTCTCTTCCTGTTCTATCGCTGTTTGAAGGGTTTCCTTGAATATTTCCTGAAAGGAAAGGAACAGAACATAGTGAGTGTGTTACAGAATATAAACAGTAGCATATAAAAATCAAACAGGAAGGTCATATTTATGTTACAAAATATATTTTTTTAAATATTAAGAAATTGGTCAATTTTAATTTACCAGTTTTTCGTTGCTATCCAGTGAATTTGCGAGATCAAATATTTTTGTGATTGCAGCTCTTCTATACAAGCCATCTTCCTAATGGAAAAAAATGGTACAATTCAATTTACTACACAATACTGAGTAGTGTAGTAAGTACAGGCAAATACTGTACTTGTATGACTTTTGCACAATCTGATATTACTGTGTTGTCGTTGCAACATATATTTGTCCAGGACCAACATTGCAACTGACCAATGGCATTGTCTGAGCATTCAGTTAGCCAAGAAGATAATGGTAAGGGTAAAGGTAGGTAAAAATAAAATTTATCATAAGCAAAAAAAAC